CTGAGAGAAGCCGTGTCAGGAATCAGGAGGCAGGAACTGAAGCAGAGGCCATGGAAGAATACTGCTTACTGACTTGCTTTACACTCAGCTTGATATATATATAAAACCAAGGACTGCCCAGGAGTGGCACTGCCCAGAGTGGACTGGGCTCTTCCACATTAATCATTAGTCATAAAGAGGCCTCCACAGACTTGCCTACCAGCCAAATGATGGAGGCATTTTTCCCAATTGTGGTTCCTTCTTCCTAGATGACTGATTTGCAAAGTTGACAAAAAAAAAAAAAAAAAAAACCCAACAACTAAATAGCACAAATTACCCCTTGTCAACTAGACATGTGAACTAATAACCTGAGTTGGAGAGATGGCTCAACAGTTAAGAACACTAGCTGCTGCTTCCAGGGGATCTGGGTTTGATTCCCAGCACCCACAAGCTGGCTAACAACCATTCATAACTCCAGTTTCAAGGATCAGACACCCCTCCTGGTCTCTATGGGCACTGCATGCACGTGGCACACAGACAGCAGGCAAAACACCCACACCTAAAACAAAAATCTCTAAAGCCTTTAATCCCAGAATTTAAGATCCAGAGGTAGACAGATTTCTGTAAGTTTGAGGACAGGGTGTTCTACATAGTGAGTTCCAGGACGGTCAGAAATCCATAGACCCTGTCTTAAAAAAAAAAAAAAAGAAAGAAAGAAAGAAAAAAAAATAACCCTTCCTTGTTTATCTCAACTATCACTATCGTGTTAATAACAAGATCACAATATAAATACAGTTTGGTGACACATGCCTTTAATCCCAGCACTCGGGAGGCAGAGGCAGGCAGATCTCTTTGAGTTCAATGCCTGCCTGTTCTACAAAGGGAGCTCCAGATCAGTTAGAACTACAATGAGACCATGTCTCAAACACACCCATCCCCAAAGCCCAAAGAAACCAAACCAAGTAAGCAAATAAATAGAAGTCCTTCAGTTGAGGCTGTAGAGAGGACTCGGCCAATAGTATTTTTTGTTTTTGCAAAGGACAAAATGGGAGGGGGTTGGAGAGATGGCCCAGTGGTTAAGAGTACTTGCTGCTGTAGGGGTTGGGGATTTAGCTCAGTAGGTCCCTAGTTCGGTCCTCAGCTCGGGGTAGGTGAGTGGGGGGGAGGGAGGAAAAATAAGACCACTTGCTGCTCTTGCAGAGGACCTGGATTAAATTCCTAGCACCCACACAGCAGCTCAGAGTGCCTGAAACTTCAGTTCCAGGAAACCCAGTGCCCTCTTTGGGCACCAGGCATGCCAATGGTGCACAGACATTCATGTAGGCAAACACACATAAAAACTTACATCAAGAGGTAAGAACCAGGACACAGTTACAATCAAATCAAAGAAGAATCAACATCCAGCAGTGTAAATCCAACCCTGTAGCTCAGTGTCCTCTACCTGGCATTCAATCCCAGTCTGGACTGCAAAGGCGTTGTGAAGCTTCAACTCTACCAATCTGCCATCCACAATCCACATAGCTTGTCTTGTAGGATCAAGCCAGCTCCATGCCACACCTGCTGCTGTCCTTGTCTATCATCCCAGGGTACTGGCATCACTAGTATGCTGGAATCTTCATTGCAATTGAGGTTGCATCTTCACCAATTGCCTCTCTTGGCTTCTTCAGGGACTGACCCCGTCACATGCACAAAGCCTCAGCTTCTTCCTCTGAGACCTTCAATACGCAAGTCTCCATTGTAACTGAGGCTGCCCCCTCACCAATGGCCTTCTGCCTTCTGTAAGGACTCCAACCTTGTTATATGACGCTAAGTCTCAGATGCTCTCCATAAGCCCTTCAAGCCTTCAAAACCAATACCATGTGGGAGATGCTTACATAGTACCACTTTCAGCTGCTAGTTTCAGATACGGTCTTGGCCCCTCTGATCCATCTGAGTGCCATGACATACATGTTACATACATGTACACACACACAAATAAAAAATATATATAATTTTAAATAAAGGGCTGGAGAGATGGCTCAGCAGCTAAGAGTGCATACTGCTCTTGTGGAGGACTCTAGTTCAGTTCCCAGGACCCATGCTGAGTGGCTCATGACTTCCAGTAACTCCAGCTCCAGGGGATCTGACACTTTTGGCTTCTAAGGACACCTGCACATATATACACCCGCATATCTATCTATCTATCTGCATATATATATATATATATATATATATATATATATATATATATATATACCCATACAGACACTCATAATAATTCAAAACAGTCTTTAAGAATTTAAAAATTAAATATACTTCTCAAGTATTTTGTCATAAGGTGACTACAGTACCAAATTCACTGAGAAAAGCATGAACTTCCACACCTTGGGGCTTACCAGGGTGCAGAAACAGCTGAAACCAGGCATCCAAGAGCTGTGCACAGGTTCTTTTGTAGCCTTCTTTCACCAGCATCACTCCTTCATGGCTGTCCGTATCCTAAAGCCTATTGGCGCTTCTAATTCTCCTTCTTTTTATACCTCTGTCACCTGAGAGATGTCGCAGGCTGTCTTTGGACCTAGATTCAGAATCCCAGGGAGCACCAAACTTTGCATGAGCCAATAATAGCCTCCAACAGCCTAGGTAGCCAAGGATTGCCTTGAACTCCCCTCCTCCTGCCTCTCCACATCCCAGGTGCTGGTATTACAGGCATGTCCCACCATGAGTGATTTATGTGGTGTGGGTAGCAGATGACGTCATGAGTGAATGTGTGGTTGTTGACAAGCACAGCTATGTCAGGGGATCCAATGCCTGAGACCCAGGGGGTCTTCCTTAGGGTTTCTATTGCTGTGGTAAAATACCATGCCCAAAAGCATTTGAGGAGGAAAGGGTTTATTTTGCTTACATTTCCAGATAACAGTCCCTCATGTCCTGAGAGAAGGCAGAGCAGGAATGCAGGACAGGAACCTGGAGAAAGGAATTAATGCAGAAGCCACAGAGGAGTACTACTTTCTGGCTTGCTCTCCGTAGCCTTTTTCTTACGGCACCCAGGACCACAACCCCGGGCTGACACTGTCCACCGTGAGCTGGGCCCTCCTACATCAATCATTAGTCAAGACAATGCACCACAAAGGTGGTGGTGGTTCAAGCCTTTAATCCCCCGCACTCGGGAGGCAGAGGCAGGCAGATCTCTGTGAGTTCGAGGCCAGCCTGGGCTACAGAGTGAGATCCAGGACAGGCTCCAAAGCTACACAGAGAAGAGAAAAAAAAAAAAAGAAAGAAAGAAAGAAAGAAAATACAGAACGCACCACAAGCTGCCCATAGGCCCATCTGGTGGGGGCATTTTCTCAATTGATAGTCTTAAATGATTCTAACTTGACATGTATTCTCTCCGGTACAAGACTGAAAAGGACAAGTGTGGGAAAGCAGGAAGCAATTCCATCAGTCAAGTGAAAACAACTTGGACAGCTGCAAACTTTCTGTAGTATGTTAGGCTTTGGGGTGCTTACCCTTTCTGTCCTGTCTTCTGTGTTCGTGTGTGTGTGTGTGTGTGTGTGTGTGTGTGTGTGTGTGTGTGTGTGTGTGTGTGTGTGTAGGATAAAGGTAAAAGGTGTCTTCCTCAATTGTTTTCTGCCTCATATATTTTCTTCACACACAAAACCATTTAAGGCTGGGTATGGTTGAGCATGTCTTTAATCCCAACACTTGGGAGGCAGAGGCAGGTGGTTCTCTGAGTTTGAGGCCAACTTGTTCTACATACTGAGTTCCAAGCTAGTCAGGGTTACAAAGGGAGATTCAAGTCCTCTACAAAAACATTATACACTCTAAACCTCTGAGCCATCACTCCAGCCCTTCCATGCTTTCATTAAAAGTACAAAGTAACTTAAGGTTAAGGGCTTTGCTCACAATTTGGTTCTTGCTTTAGGGATAAAAGACCCAGGCCATTAAGCCATGGGAGCTGCTCCTGCTAGCAAAGGTTAGGGGTGTGGCACACCGTTTTTTTGTTTGTTTGTTTTGTTTTGTTTTTCAATACAGGGTTTCTCGGTGTAGCTTTGCGCCTTTCCTTGATCTCGCGCTGTAGCCCAGGCTGTCCTCGAACTCACAGAGATCTGCCTGGCTCTGCCTCCCAGTGCTGGGATTAAAGGCGTGCGCCACCACCGCCTGGCGTGGCACACCTTTTTTATAAAAAGAAATTACCTTGCAAAGTTATTTTTCCATTGTTTCTGTGTTTCTTTTTGTGGATACAAAGATTAGTCTTTTCTAACACCTTGAATTTGTGTACTCAAGGATGCCTTTGAACTTCTGACCCTCCTGTCTCCACTTCACAACCAGTATAGGTAGTGCTACAGAAAGACCCCTGGACCTCCTGCATGCTAGGCAAACACTTGACCAACTGAGCAAAACCTGCATCCCTTTTTATTAATTATAATATCTTTTTTGTGTATGTGTGCACACCAAGGAACAGTACCGTACAGTTGTTGGGGAGAATTTGTATTTCTTTTCTTTTCTTCTTCTCCTTTTTTTTTTTTTTTTTTTTTTTTGAGACAGGGTTTCTCTGTGTAACAGTCCTGGTTGTCCTGCAACTCATTCTGTAGACCAGGTTGGCCTCGAACTCACTGAGACCCGACTGCCTCTGCCTCCCAAACGCTGGGATTAAAGGCGTGAGGCACCATCGCCCGGCTTTTCTTGGCTTTTTTTTTTTTTTTCTTTTTGGTTTTTGGAGACAGGGTTTCTCTATGTTTAACAGTCCTGGCTGTCCCAGCCTCTTAAGGGTTCGGATTCCAAGCATGAGCCACCCCTCCCGGCTTGAACAAGCGTCTTATTGGGTTTTGTAGCACGGGATGTTTTCGGGAGCATCCATGATGGCTCACCAGGTGAAGAAAGTCAGTAAGGCCAGTGGCCCTGGCGTGAGGCTCTGCGCCCAAACAGACTTCAGTGTTTGGGCGCCGGAGGCACAAGCCCCACCCCTCACCTGCGCGCATGCTCTTACGTGAGCCCGACGGGCGACCTGCGGCATAGGCGCGCGTGACGTAGCACCGCGGGGCCGTGATGACGCACAGGCGTACGCTCGGTGGCTCCTCGGGGAAGATGGCGGCTGCATCTTTGAAGGAGAGGAATTGAGAGTAGGGAGCAGGGGAGAGGAGCGGGACGGGAGAGACACTCCCCGCGGCACCGAAGGACACCGCGCTCGCGGTCAGGCGCCCCTCCCGGCCCTCCACGGTGAGTGTGCGGCGGGGCCCGTGAGGGCCGCGGGCGGTCGCGCTCCGCCATTTTCGGGCCCGGCCGTTGCGTGCTTCGGGGGGTTGGGGGGGGGGACAGGTCGCGGGAGAGAGGAGGACGGGCACCGGCGGGGCCGGCCGCGGCCGGTGGGGGTCCCCGCGGACGGACTTCGGGGAGGGGGCGGCCGTGAGGCTCCCTCGGCCTAGCCGGGACGGCGAGGCCGGCCGCAGAGACGCGAAGTTCGGAGGAAGGAAGCGCGCTGGGGTGGAGGGGAGTGGAGTCGAGCGCGGCTTTGAGGGCTGCCCAGAAGGGGGCTGGAGAAGTTCCTGGGGATCCAGGGGGAACAGCTGGAGAGTCAGCCTGGATGCTTTCTGAAATTGAGATCCGTGTTGGGGACCCGGAGGAAGGCAGAGCTTTGCTCTCTTGCACGAGTTTCAGTCCTCTCTGGCTCCTTACGAATGTCCCACTAAGCACTCATTCTCCACTCCAACTGGAAATTAAATTCGGGTCCCAGTATGTGAGAGAAACAAAGGCTTTCTGGCAACTGGATATTTGTGGTATTAGAAAGCGCCTCTCGTTTTTCTTTTCTCCTATTTCTTTGAGACTGGTCTAGTTGTATTGCCCAGGTCCGCCGAGAATTTCCAGTCTTCCACCTGCCGGGCACAGGCGAGAGATAAGCGCGCGCGCTACCTGACTTGGCTAGCGGTCCTTTTGTTGTTTGGCTTGATTTTTATTTTATTTTATTTTTGATACAGTTTCACTGTGTAGCCAGGCTGGCCTAGAAACTCACTACGTAGCCTAAGTTTCGAACTCAGCGGTAATCATCCTCTCATTCTCCCAACCGATGGCATGACCAGCCTGAGCCCCTCTAGACTTGGCTGTAACCCAGGCTGGCACTAACTTGCTAATTAACTTCCACTTCCCGAGTGGGATTGAAGGCGTGGGCCACACCTGACCGAGAATTTGTGCTTTTTTTTTCTTTTTAAATCGAAGAATTGCATATTAGTGTATGCGTGCACGCGCTCCCTCCCTCTTCCCCTCCCCCCTCGCTGGTAGGAGAGAGGACAGTTTGCTGGAGAACGCTTTTCAACCAAGTGAGTCTTGATTGAACTTAGGTTGTGTGGGTACTTTAACGCTGAGCCATCTATTGAGTTACATTCTTGTGTTTTGTTTGTTTATTTTATTTTATTTTTTTTAAACAAAGTGTTGATATTGGGTTGTAACTCTTGTGGTTGGTGGCCCTTCCGGAGTAAGGGAGCGGCTGGTTGAGGGATTATCTCCTTGGATTGGAAATCAAAGTCAGAAAAGTGTGTGTGTTAACATATGTAAAGACTGTCAGGAATGATGGGAGGCAGTAGCTATTTGGGAGCTATGGATGACAGGAACCAAGCCACAGTGGTGACATAGACCACTTGGGAACAAAACTTTCACGTACTCTCTGGATATAATACAGGCAGCCTTTTGCCTATGAATGTTTAACCCAAACAAAGAACAAAGCTCTTAGTGACTGTTAAAAGAAAACACTTTAATTGTTTCCCTGGTGGCATTTTTTCTTTTCCTAATCTTAATTACATTTGAGACCCACGTTTTAGGTACTTTTGCATTTTTAATTTGTTTCCATGCCCAGTAGAGGTAAAATACTGTATAGATTTGGTTTGAGACAAAACTTGAAGTGCTGTATTTAGCTGATTTACTATAGAGACTTGGGGAACATTTTGATACCCTTCCCCCAATCCTGGGAAGGATTTTGGTAGAAAGTTGGCTTACATCACAGTGCATTAGAAAAAGTAATTTGACCACCGGGCTCGGGGGCACATGCCTTTAATTGGGGAGGCAGAGGCAGGCAGATCTGAATTCGAGGCCAGCCTGGTCTACAAAGTTCCAGTACAGCCAGGGCTACACAGAGAAACCCTGTCTCAAAAAGCAAACAAACAGCCACGTGGCTAATACCTGAAAGAACTCAAAAAACTAGATATCCCAAAGGGTACATGCCTTTAATCCTAGCACTCAGGAGGCAGAGCCAGGAGGATCTCTGTGAGTTCGAGGCCAGCCTGATCTACAGAGGGAGATCCAGGACAGGCACCAAAACTACACAGAGAAACTCTGTCTCAAAAAAACAAAACAAAACCAAAAACTCAAAAAAAAAAAAAAAAAAACAGACAAAAAACAAAAACAAACAAACAAATGAAATAGTAAATTGTTATTTATGAAGCTGAAAGCTTAGTTCCCATTCCTTTCTTTGGTTGGTAAAAATACGAAATGGTGAATTTTGTCATCACAATTTTATCCTGACCTAAACCTTTAATAATATTTTTACTGACCTCTTAAGCCCTATATTCAGAGTTTGCTTTGCTAAATAACCGAGTCCATTAACATAAAAAGCTCATTAGGTAACAAAGTCTGTTTTTTTGGGGGGGGTGTTTAGATATTATTTGATTATTGCCAAGCTCAAACTTTTGTATTTCAGAATGAAATTTTAACGTTTCATAACTCTAACAAAGATATTAGTGAAAGTTCTTTATTTTAAATTTGTATGAATGCATTTATGTAATCCTTTTGAGGTTATTTAGAATAAATTTGGTATTTTACCTACGTTTTTAATTTTTAGGTAAAATGGTATTAGTTGGAGCTAAATGGTCACTATCAAAAGTTTTTTTCCATTAAAAATTTACATTTACTTTGTGTGTATGTTTGTGTGTATAGAGGTCAGAGGACAAATTAAAGGAATTGATTTTTCTTTTCACCATGTGGATTCCGATGTTGTCAGCTATCTTTTCCCACTGAGCCCCTGACCACACCTGCCTTTGACCATGGTTTTAATACTTAAATATTTTATCTTTGTTGTTAGCTGTGATTTAGGTTTAAGATTTCTACTTGGGCCAAGCCATGGTGTTGAATGCCTATAATCCCAGCACTCAGGAGGCAGAGACTGGTGGATCTCTGTGAGTTCGAGGCCAGCCTGGTCTACAGAGGGAGTTCTAGGATAGCCACAGAACACAGAGAGACAAAACAAAGCAAGACAAAAAAAGATTCTACTTGGACATGTTTTCTTTGATGACATACCTGTCCCACCCCTGTCCCACCGCAAACCATTTGTCTTAGACCCCGAAGCTGGTCAGCCATGTTGGAGAGTGTGACCTACATTACTGTTACTCTTTCTGGACTGTAAATAACAACTTCATAAAATTTGTGTAGTGCCTAATTTTCATAATTTAAGTGTTTATAAATTCCAGACCCAAGGGAGATGTATTAGAAAGAAAATCATGGGATGCCATAGCAAGTGGCCTAAGTTTGCAAGCTGAGTTCATCACAGCTAGCTTTAGATCAAGAGGAAGGGTGTGATGAGTATTGAATTCAGTAGATTACCTATTTTAAGTGCGTGTTACATCATTGAACTATACCTCCAGCTCTAAAGCAGTTTTTTTTTTTTTAAGATTTATTTATTATGCATACAGTGTTCTGTCTGCATGTGTCCCTGCAGGCCAGAAGAGGACACCAGATCTCATTACAGATGGTTGTGAGCCACCATGTGGTTGCTGGTAATTGAACTCAGGACTTCTGGAAGAAGTCAGTGCTCTTAAACACTGAGCCATCTCTCCAGCCCCAAGTTTTTTTTTTTTTTTTTTTTAAATGGGTCAGTTAATTCAACTCTGAGTATCAATTTCCTTATATATAAAAATGATAATTGCTAAGCTGGGCGGTAGTGGCGCACGCTTTTAATCCCAGCACTCGGAAGGCAGAGCCGGGCGGATCTCAAGTGAGTTTGAGGCCAGCCTGGTCTACAGAGTGAGATCCAGGACAGGCACCAAAACTACACAGAGAAACCCTGTCTCAAAAAACCAAAAAAAAAAAAAAATAAATAATTGCTATTGGTGGGATAGTACATGCCTTTAATCCCAGAACCTCAGGTGGCGGAGGCAGGCAGTTTGAGGCTACACTATGTAGTGAATGTAGGCTATGTAGTGAAACCCTATCTCAAAAAAAAAAAAAAAAGTGAAAATAATTTCACTATTTCCAGTCCCAGTAAGAAATAAGAAAATTTATTGAATGTATATACTGCATATACTCACCGCTGAGAGGTAGACCAGGCTGGCCTCATAGAGATCTCCTTCCTCGGCCTCCCAAGTGAAGGAATTATAAATGTGTTGACCACTTTGCCTTCATTCATTGGTTGGTGGGCATCTGGCTTGGTTCCGGTTCCATTTCCTGGCTATGATGAGGAGCACAGGGTGTACAATATCCCTGGTCTGTAAATTGAAGGTCACACATACCTAGGAGTGGGCTAGTTCTTTTCAGCGTTTTTTTTTTTTTTTTTTTTGTTTTGTTTTGTTTTGTTTTTCAAGACAGGGTTTTTCTGTAGCTTTGCACCTTTCCTGGAACTCACTTGGTAGCCCAGGCTGGCCTTGTACTCACAGAGATCCGCCTGCGTCTGCCTCCCGAGTGCTGGGATTAAAGGCATCCGCCACCACTGCCCAACTTCTTTTCAGCTTTTTGAGGAATTCCTAGTGGCTGCAGAAGTTTACATTCTACTAGCAGATCTGGTTTAGGTTTCTGCTCACTTCACATCCTTTTCAGCATTTTTGTTGCTGAGTCAGAGTTCTCACTATGTCCTTCTGGCTGTCCTGGAGCTCAAACAGATCGGCTTGCCTCTGCATCCCCAGGACTGTGATTAAAGGCGTGCTCCACCACTCCTGGCCAGCATTCCTTTTTTTTTTTTTTGAGATTGATTTAAATTTTCTGTGTGTATGGGTATTTTGCCTGCATTCATGTCTGTATAGGTGTGTGAAGTGCCCCAGGAAGCTTGAAGACAGATCAACACTTTTAGTTTGCATTTCCCTGTTTTTGTGTATTTTATGTGTATTTTATTCACATTTATTTGGGAGGTTTTTTTTGTGTGTGTGTAAGATAGGACATTCTGTAGTTCAGACTAGGCTGAAATCTTTTTTTTTTTTTTTTTTTTTTTGGTTTTTCAAGACAGGGTTTCTCTGTGTAGCTTTGCGCCTTTCCTGGAACTCACTTGGTAGCCCAGGCTGGCTGGCCTCGAACTCACAGAGATCCGCCTGCCTCTGCCTCCCGAGTGCTGGGATTAAAGGCGCGCGCCACCAACGCCCGGCTTAGGCTGAAATCTTATAGTCCGGGCTGGCCTTAAACTCATGGTGATCATCTTCTCTTAGCCTCCAAAATATTGGGATTATGAGCACTATCACGCCTGCCAGACTTGTGCTTTTTAAAGGTAGATTCTGTAGTACCTTATTGTTATTAATTTTAATTTTATTTAATATTTGGGGGGCAGATTCTTGATACATTTGCATCCCTGACTGGCCTGGAATTTGCAGGGGTTCCCCTGCTGGAATTATAGTCTGTGGCACTGCACCTGGGTATGGAGATCAAATTCAATTCAGGTCGTCAGGTTTATATATGGCAGGTGCCTTTCCCAGATGAGCCATCGTGGCAGCTCTACTGTATGTTTTTGTATTTCTAAAAGTTAGGCATAAATTCTAGAGAATGGGGGGAAGAGGATCAGGAGTTTAAGGCCAGATGAATTTGAGGCCAGCCCAGGTATGACTGAGTCTGTGCCCAACTTTAAAAAAAAAAAAAAAGATGCTGGGTGTGGCGGCAAGGCTTTTAATCTGGTCTACAGATCGAGTTCCAGGACAGCCAGGGCTACACAGAGAAACCCTGTCTGGAGCTTCCCTGCCTCCCTGCTAAAGTTAAACTTTACAATTACACTTGTATTGTGGATGGTGACTTTGGCATCCAGTTGTGAGTACCTTGTTTTTCAGAGTTTTGACTAGTGATTGATGGTTGTTGACTAAGCCATTGGGGATTCTAATAAAAAGAAAACCAACTGTTTTTTTTGCTTTAAAAATGCTTTGTGCTGGTGGCGGTGGTGCATGCCTTTAATCCCAGCACTCGGGAGGCAGAGCCCAGGCATGAAAAACTACACAGAGAAACCCTGTCTCGAAACCCCCCTCCCCCCAAATGCTTTGTATGTTAAGGGTGGAGCACAAAAACTTAGCATGTATGACCCTCAGTCCAGTATGCTACGAAGTGTTTACTGCTGGCCCACAACTCCAGCTGTCTCCACTTGGGTGTTTTAATTTTCTTCTCCTTTCTTCATTCCTTCCTTTCTTTTGTCGTCTTCTCCTTTTCTTTTTTTTTTTTTTTTTTTTTTTTGTGGTTTTTTGAGACAGGGTTTCTCTGTGTAGCTTTGCGCCTGTCCTGGAACTCACTTGGTAGTCCAGGCTGGCCTCGAACTCACAGAGATCCACCTGGCTCTGCCTCCCGAGTGCTGGGATTAAAGGCGTGCGCCACCACCGCCCGGCTTCCTTTTCTTTTTTGAGACAGGGTCTTGCTGTGTAGCTCTGGGTGGCCTGGAACTCACTATGTACACCAGCCTGGCCTCAAACTTGTATCAGTCCTACAATTCTCTTGCTACCATCGCTTCTTGAGTACTGGGACTACAGATATGTGACATCACAATCAGCCTGAAGAATGACTTTTTGATTGGGGTGGGGTAGATGTAGCCCAGGATAGTTTCCATGAGATATACCTTGCTTTTTTTTTGTTTGTTTGTTGTTGTTGGTTGAAGTGTTGAGAATTGAATCTGGGACCTTGTGCATGTTAGTCCAGCACTTTTACTGCTAAGTTATATACACATATGTGGACTCTTTTGTTTTGTTTTGTTTTGTTTTTCGAGACAGGGTTTCTCTGTGTAGCTTTGCGCCTTTCCTGGAACTCACTTGGTAGCCCAGGCTGGCCTCGAACTCACAGAGATCCGCCTGGCTCTGCCTCCCGAGTGCTGGGATTAAAGGAGTGCTCCACCACCGCCCGGCTCTGTTGTATATGTTAAAGAAATTTTTTTTTTTTTATGTGTATGGTTGTTTTGCTTGCATTTATGTCTGCCTACAGAGGCCAGAAAAGGGTATCAGATTCCCCCAGAACTGGAGTTACAGATAGTTGTAAGCTGTCATATGGGTTCTGGGAGTTGAACCTTGGTCCTCTGGAAGAGCAGTCTAGCCAAATTGATGGCTCAGTGAAATTCCCCGTCTCAAAGAACAAGAACATTTGAGGAAAACACTCAGCATCAAGCTCTGGTCTACATGCACGCACACACGCACGCACATGCATGAATGCACAAAAACATGTACATACACATCACACATAAAAACATACAGAAAAGAAAAAAGTAAGGCTGGGGAGATGGCTCAGTGGTTAAGAACACTTGCTGTTCTTTGCTTAGAGGACTCAAGTTCAGTCCAGTATCCACATGATGGCCCACAACTGTCTGTAACTCCAGATCCAGAAGATCTGGTACCCTCTTCTGGCTTCACAGGTATTGCATACATGTGTACACTTACGTACATTCGGGTAAGGCATATAAAATAAAAATAAATTTTTTTAAAATAAAGTGAGAAAGAAAGCTGGACAGTAGCAGTGCACAGCCTAGCATGTATGAGGCTCTGGGTTCTCATCCCATGTAACACTCACAGAGAAAAAAAAGTGAAAATTTACAGAGAAAATATCTTCAAATCATAAATCTAATGAGAGTCTTAAATCAGAGTGTGTCAGCACACGTGTATAATCTCAGCAAGTGGCAGGCTAGTGAGACACTGTCCCACAGTGAGGCAGGCAGGAAGGTGGAATGGATCAGAACGTGTAAAGAACTCTTACAACTAACTCAGTAAGAGAAAAAAAGAACCCGGGGCTGGAGAGTGGCTTAGCAATTAAGAGCACTTGCTGTTCTTGAGGATTTGGGTTCAATTCCCAGCACCCACACAGTGACTCACAACCCATCTGTAAGTCCAGTTTAGGTGACCCTGCACCCTCTTCTGTACCTCTGCTAGTACATAGTACACATGCAAGCAAAAAACACATAAAATAAAATAAAAATATCTAAAAATGAAAAAAAGGAGAAATAAATCATCATCTTAATTGGGCAAAAGATCTTTTTTCTCCCTTGAGACAAGGCCTCACTATGTAGCACTGACTGGCCTGCAACTTGCCTCCTAAGTGTTAGGATCAAAGATGTGTATCACCACTGTCCGGTCCCAGGTTTGTGGTTTTTTTTTTTAATGTTTGATTTTTTTATCCATTTTTCTTGCCATCTGGCAGTATGGGAAAACTTTGAAATCATTATTGTCATTAATCTGTTTATGTATAGCTGTATGTATTTAGGCTCTGATACCACTGTATGTTATGTGGAGGTCAGAGGTCAACTTTGGAGAGGTGATTTTCTCCATCCACCTTTTACATGGGTTCCCAGGATTATTCTCAGACTGTCAGGCTTGTGTTACAAGTGCTTTTACCCTCTAAGCTATCTTGGTGGCCCTAAATTGAGTTTTCAATGTATGAAATCATTAAATATTACCTATAAAACAAATCTTATTCATTTTTGGAAGATAGTATACCTGATACAAAATTCAAAAGCTGCAGACTAAGTTCCTTCTCAACTTTATATCCTAATTCATCTAGTTTTTCTTAAATGTGTTATTTTATGTGTGAGTATTTTACCTCTGTGTATGTCTATACCACATGCTGGCCTTGTTCCCACAGAGGCCAGAGGAGAGTGGCAGATTTCCTAGAATGGGAGTTGCAGTGAGCTCTCCAGCTCTGCCCTTGTTAAAGGGTGGTTAAAACATAGTTTATTACAAAATGACTAAGTGTTTATTATGGATGGAAAATTTAGAAAATACATAGCAGTAAATCTAATTTCTCTCTCTCTCTCTCTCTCTCTCTCTCTCTCTCTCTCTCTCAGTTGAGACAGGGTTTCTCTGTGTAGCCCTGACTGTCCTGGAACTCCATATAGACCAGGTTGGCCTCGAACTCAGATCTGCCTGCCTCTGCCTCCTGAGTGCTGGGATTAAAGGTGTGCACCACTGCCGCCGCCTGGCCAATTTCTGTAAGTCTTTAAAAAATGCTTATTATTTATGTATTTTTGTGTATGTGTGTTCACCTGTCTGAGTTTATATTCATCACATGTGTACAGGAACCCTCAGAGGCCAGAAGTGGGTGTGGTGGTGTGGCTAATAAACTTATCTGGGGTCAGAGAAAGGAACAGCCACAATATTAAACATAGAGGTTAGGCAGTGCAGTGGTGGCCCACGCCTTTAATCCTAGCATTCTAGAGGCACAGATCCGCCTGGATCTCTGTGTGTTCAAGGATACAGCCAAGCATGGTGACACACACCTTTAATCCCAAGAAGTGAGCCTTTAATCCCAGGGAGTGATGACAGAAAAACAGAAAGGTATATAAGGCATGAGGACTAGAAACTAGAAGCATTTTGGCTGGTTGAGATAAGGACTCAGAGGCTTCCAGTCTGAGGAAGAAGGACCAGGTGAGGAACTGGCAAGGTAAGGTAGCTGTGGCTTGTTGTTTCTCTGATCTTCCAGCATTCACCCCAATACCTGGCTCCAGGTTTGATTTTATTAATAAGACTCTTTAAGATTCATGCTACAAGAGGGTATAAAATATCTTGGAATTAGAGTTATAGTTTTAAGTCCCCACATGGCTCCTCTTTTTTTTTTTTTTTTTTGGTTTTTCGAGACAGGGTTTCTCTGTGTAGCTTTGCGCCTCTCCTGGAACTTACTTGGTAGCCCAGGCTGGCCTCGAACTCACAGAGATCCGCCTGGCTCTGCCTCCGGAGTTGTGGGATTAAAGGCTTGTGCCGCCACCGCCCGGCTAACATGGCTCCTCTTAAAGAGCATAAGTCCTCTTACACCACTGAGCCATCTTTCCAGTCCCTAATTTGATATATCTTCCTATGACTGATTTAAGCATACAACCAAGGTAGCTTTATTATTTAATTTTTTTAATTGGTTTTTGGAGGAGGAGACAGGGTTTCTTTGTGTACTTTAGAGCCTGTCTTGGAACTTACTCTTTAGACTAGACTGGACTCAAACTCACAGAGATCTGCTTGCCTCTGCCTCCTGAGTGCTGGGATTAAAGGTGTGTGCCACCACTGCCTGGCTTATTATTTAATTTTTATTTTGTTTGCTTTTGAAAATTATGTTTATGAGTATTTTGCCTACATGTATGTATGTATACCAACCACATGCATGCCTGGTTCCTCCAGAGGTCAGAAGAGGGTATCAGATCCCCTGGAACTGGAGTTATGGATAGTTGTGAGCCATGCCTGACCTAGTAGGTGATTTTTTTTTTGTCATTGCATGAACACCACAAAATGTGCTTACACACCCACTGTGATGGTATAGGTCAGTCAATCTACATGATTTCTTGTGGTGGTATTGTGTTCCCCAAAATATTGTGCAACCTAATAAATTTATCTGGGGTCAGAGACAGAGCAGCCACTAGATACAAAGGCTAGAAAATGGTGGCACTCACACCTTTAATCCTAGCACTCCAGAGGTAGAAATCCCTCTGGATCTCTGTGAGTTCAAGGCCACATTGGAAACAGCCAGGCACACGCCTTTAATCCCAAGAAGTGAGCCTTTAATCCCAGGGAGTGGTGGTAAAAAGCAGAAAGGTATATAAGGCGTGAGGACCAGAAACTAGAAGGATTTGGCTGGTTAAGCTTTCAGACTTCTAGCAGCACAGTTCAGCTGAGAGCCATTGGGATATGAGGACACAGAGGCTTCCAGTCTGAGGAAACAAGACCAGCTGAGAAGTTGGCCAGGTGAGGTTAGCTGTGGCTTGTTCTGTCTCTCTGACCATCCAGCATTTCACCCCAATAACTGGCCCCGGGTGTGATTTTATTAATAAGACTCTCTAAGATTCCTGCTACAATTTCTTTTTTGGGGGGGAATGCATTTCTTATGTATGTATGTATGTATGTATGTATGTATTTATTTACTTATTTATTGTTTCAGTATTGTAGCACTGGTTGTCCTGGAACTCACTGTGGAGACCAGGTGGCCTCGAACTCAGAGATCTGCCTGCCTCTGCCTCTTGAGTGCTGAGATTAAAGGCATGCGCCAGACCTGCCTGGCTTCTACGTGACATCTCTTTTTAAAATTTATTTATTTATTACATATATCGTGTTCTGCCTGTATGTATGCCTGTACACCAATAGAAGACCTCAGATCTCATTATAGATGGTTGTGAGCCACCATGTGGTTGCTGGGAGTTGAACTCAGGACTTCAGGAAGAGCAGCTAGTGCTCTTAACCTCTGAGCCATCTCCCCAGCACCTCTACATGACTTCTTTATGTAGCCAAAAGACAACTTCTACTGACATAATAAAGTATACTCTTTATATACTTATTTTTTTGTCTAGGTAGCTGAGGCTGTCCGTGGAATTCAGTGTCGTTCTGCTTCAGTTTACCAAGTACTAGGCATGGTTCATTGTACTGTATATATACTCATATATATGTGTGTGTGGCAGGGCAGTGGTGGCATATATGTGTGTGTGTGTAAATATACACAATACTTGTACATTTGTGTATATACACACACACACACTAAATAGAAGTACACTCTAAAATAGAGTATTATATAGTATACATAAGCCTGTAGTGTCATAGTTGTTTATTGCCATTGTGTTGTAGATAATTCAGAATTGTATATGCTATATTTTTATGAACTTTACAAATCCAAGTAATGCTTTATGCTATCTATGATGTGACTTTACTAGGCAATGAGATTTTTATTTTTATTGTAATGGTAGGATACCAAATTTGTTTGTGTGATCCTTTGTGGGCTGTAATATCTTAATAGGACACAATATCAAGAATGAAAGAAGAATTTTAGAGAAGATTTTACAGATGTTAAAAAACTAATAAGGCTGGGCGGTGGTGGTAAATACATTTAATCCCAGCACTGGGGAGGTAGAGGCAGATGGATCTCAGTGAGTTCGAGGCCAGCCTGGTCTACAGAGCGAGTTCCAGGACAGTTAGGACTGTTACACAGAGAAACCCTGTCTCAAAAACCAAAACTAAAACAAAACAAAAACAAACCAAAAAAGACTGAGATACCATGAACAGTTGTATGCCCTAAAAATTGGAAGAAATTAATTTTGTTAAAATACAAACTACCAAAACTAACCAAAGAGCCAAAAAACAGTCTACCTTCACAAGAGCTAATAGCATCAGGAAGGCTAAAGAATTTTTAAAAACTTCCAAAAACATAGCATAGAACATGGATGGCCAAGGGAGCTGTGACTGTCCTGATTTGTAGAGAAAATGGTGCTGTGGCCACTAGTTCTAGTATAAGTCATTCCTGCCTAACTTGGTGACTGCCAGACTAGGTGAATTGATCTGTCAGGGCTCTTTATGTGATGGTAGTTTCTGTTCTGCCATGCAGTTGTACAGTCTGCTGGGCTGTCTCGAAACACCCAGGGTATTTCCACTTCCCTTCTTGCCTTCCTCTGCTCCCTTCTCCTTGTCTCTGTCCCTCCCCTACCTTTGGGACAGGGTCTTACTATGTAGCCCCTAGCTGGCCTGGAATCCACTATGTTGACCAGTCTGCCTTAGAAATGCAGAGATCTGCCTGCCTGTGTCCTGAGATTCCTGGGATTGAAGGTCTTTGCCACCATGCCTGACAGAATTCTAGTTCTTAAAAACCCTTGAAAAATAATGGATTTTTTTTTTTTTTTTTTTTTTTGGTTTTTCAAGACAGGGTTTCTCTGTGCCTGTCCTGGATCTCGCCTTGTAGACCAGGCTCGTCTAGAACTCACAGAGATCCTCCTGACTCTGCCTCCTGAGTGCTGGGATTAAAGGCGTACGCCACCTGGCTAAGGAAAACTGTTTTTAATGTGCCTCATACTTTTTTTTTTTTTAAATGGTACTGGGGATGGAACACAGGGTAGGCTAGTACCATAAAGTGGTACCGACAGTTTTTCAGAAGATTAATCACAAATATAAATGACTCAAGTTTCAGTTCCAGTTATTTACTCTAGGAAAAGGATAATACATTCACAGAAAAAATTGCACTGGTGTTTATAGTAGTTTTATTCAAATTGCTGAACACAACATACATCCAAATTTCTTCAGTGAATGGATAAACTTTATCTCCATAGAATTTAGCAATAAAAGAAAAGAATAATTAAAACAGCATGGTTAGTTTTTCAAAACATCATGGCAAATGGAAAATGCTACTAGACTCAAAAAGCTTCATGAGATGTAATTTTGTTTGTGAAAATATAGACTTCAGTGATGGAGAACATTGCAGTGGTTACTGTAGTTAGAGGTAATGCTGGAGACTGGTACAAGGAACAATATAGGATATATGTGGGAATGAGGTGTGTGTGTTTAGAGAAAGAGACTGTAAGTGTAATGATAGGTGTCATCTCTGGCTCTCCTCAAACTCATTGTGTAGCCGAACATGATCTTGAACTTCTGATCTTCCTGCCGCTACCTCTTGAGTGCCACGATTATAGATATATGCCACTAAACTTGGTTTGTGTAGTATAGTTCAAACCCAGAGCTTCAGGCGTGCTAGCAAGCATCTTGCCAGCTGAGCTGTATCTTTAGCCCCAGTTTCTATATCTTGATTATGGTCAGTGTGTGAAACTGGGTTCATTAAAATACAGAATCATGGCCGGGCGGTGGTGGCGCACGCCTTTAATCCCAGCACTCGGGAGGCAGAGCCAGGCGGATCTCTGTGAGTTCGAGGCCAGCCTGGTCTTCAAAGCGAGTTCCAGGAAAGGCGCAAAGCTACACAGAGAAACCCTGTCTCGAAAACCCCCCCCAAAAAAAATACAGAATCATATTGCATAAAATGAATATTAAAAATTAATTTTGTATATATGTGTGTGTTTGATTGTGGGTTTTTCACATGTTTGAGTGCAGGTATGAGAAGTAGGTGTTGGATCCTGAACCTGCTGACCTGGTTACTAGGAATTATGTGTAATATTCAAAATAAATTTAGAGCTCAGTGTTAGAGATACTTGTCTATTTGTGTGAAAGGGCCTGGGTTTGATATCTAGTACTTCAAAAATAAATA